GTGTGTGTGTGTGTGTGTGTGCACTTGTTTTCAACTCCTGGTGGGTTCCATAACCTGAGATTCCACTCACGTCATGGGGACTGGTTTTACGTGGTGGGGCCCGAACACCGGACCCCACTGGTCCAAGCTTAATAATCAATGGGTAATGCTTTTCTAACGGTCCTTATGCAGTCTCTGTAAAAATATGGAAAGGACCCCTGGAGGTTTACTTTCCTGAAAAAAGTGTGTTATGTGTCGGAACCCTGGTGGTGGGTTGCGGGATATCAAGGAGGGGCACACTGGGGCAATTTCAGTCCAGCAGGCTGGAGCCAATCATGGAGCAGCACAACAGAGGAAATCAGGTGTCAGGCTAGAAAAAGGTGCAAGTGTGTGGTTCATTAGGCTGCAAGAAATCATGGAGGAGCACACTGAAGCGCACGCTTACAAACCACTGGTAAGTGCTGACTACAAGTCATGACTTCAAATTGTTATATAGAATGATTACAAATTATTTGTTGTTTGTGCAGCTTAGTCAAGAGTCCCTAATTGATGAAGTCGACTCAGATTCTGACGATTTAACTGTCAAGAAGAAACCTGTAAAAAAGTATGGAAAAAGAAAAATCAAAAACACTTTTCTTCAAGACTCGGAAAGTGACGAACCAAAGGCAAATAAGATTGTTATCATGCAGCTGCAAAAGAAGAAAAATGGGGGGCGAGTATACAGCAAGAGACACTTCTGCCTCTACTGTTCAATGTCCTGCCACAAAATGTCCCGTCATTTGACTAGAAAACATGGAAATGAAAGTGACGTAGCCAGAGCATTGGCTCTACCTGTGAAATCTAAAGCACGTAAACTTCAGTTTGATTTGATCAGGAATAGTGGAAACCGTGAGCACAATTTTGAGGTTTTAAAGGCCGGCATTGGAACTTTAGTCCCAGCTAAACAGCCAAATTCCCCAGTTAAATCCAGTGAGTTTTTGCACTGTATAGACTGTGGGGCATTGCTTAAGCGAAAGTCGCTGTGGAGGCATGTGGCCAGGTGCCGGCTTTCACAGAAAGATGCCCAGGCTAAACCAGGCTAAACCAGGTAGAAGTAGGGTCCAGTCCCTCTGCTCCCTAGCCCAGCCTGTACCGGAGGGCATCAGCAAAAAGCTGTGGTCTTTAATTTCGGCAATGCATCAGGATGAGGTCACGGGTGTTGTCAAAGCAGAAAAGGGGATTCTGAGACTCGGAGAGCACCTGTACTTAAAACACGGGCATGATAAGACTAAGCATGATTACATTAGGCAGAAAATGAGAGAAGTCGGTAGGTTAATTAACGAAGCAAAAACCGCAGGGAAACTGAAAACAATTAAGGATTTCTTTATTCCTTCCAACTTTAACCATGTGATTGATGCAGTCAGGTCTGTGGCTGGATATGATGAGGAAACAAATCAATACAAGACTCCATCCTTGGCCCTCAAACTCGGCCATAGCCTCAGAAAGCTAGCAGATATTCTTGAATGTGACTCAAAAATGGAGCATTGTGTTGATGAACTATTTATTAAAAACCTCCAACGAAGCCGGCTGCTTTTTGAGAAGAGGTGGGACGTCTGTGTTTCTTCTGCTGCCCTACAGACCCTCCGGCAAGCCAAGTGGAACACTCCGGACCTGCTCCCTCTGACTGAGGACGTTAGAGCCATGCATGCACATATTGAGGTATGTCGACCTGAATATGTGCAAACCCTAATAAGTGAGCCAACGTCTAAGCATTGGTCTAAACTGGCAGTTTTGACTCTTTGTGAGGTCATCATTTTCAATCGAAGAAGGGAAGGTGAGGTTTCAAAGATGCCACTGACAGCCTTTACCTTAAGAAGTAAGACTGGGATCCATTCTGACATTGCTCTGGGACTGTCCCAACTTGAGAAAAAGCTGTGTCAGCATTTTCAACGCATTGAAATTAAAGGGAAAAGAAGTCGGAAAGTGCCGGTTCTTTTGACTCCTGAAATGATTGCTTCGATGGAGGTGCTGGTGGAGAACAGAAGGGCCTGTTCCATCTCTGACCATAACCCATACTTCTTTTCCCGCCCGGGCGCAGACACCCACATCAGGGGATCAGACTCCCTACGCCAGGTAGCCAAAGAATGTGGTGCGGTGCATCCAGAGATGCTATCCTCAACCAAACTTAGAAAGCACATAGCTACTATGTCTACAGTTCTCAATATGAAAGAGAATGAGATGGACATACTTGCCAACTTCCTCGGCCATGACATTCGCATCCACAGGCAATATTACAGACTACCAGAGGGGACACTGGAGCTGGCCAAAATCAGCAAAGTGTTGATGGCCATGGAGCAGGGAAGAGTGACGGAATTCGAAGGAAAGAGCCTCGACCAGATACAAATTGAGCCTGAAGGTAATTCTTGATATTATTAAAATATGTATGATTTTTTTCCCCTAAAGGCCACTTGTATTTTTATTTTCTGTGCGACAGGGAGAGCAGTAGAGATCCTCTCACAAACGGACGGGCTAAAAGAAACTTCAAGCGGAGAACCTTCAACCATTCATCCAGATGCACCCCATGGTAGTGGCAGTGCCCCTTCTGGTAAGTGTACCAGGTGGGGGATTACAGCCAGGCTGCTTGGTCCTCACCCTGGGAGTGTATATTGCTAATATATTTTTATTTCTCTCCCTAGAACGTGTAAGAAAGCCATGGTCTGCATCTGAGGTGAAGGCTGTGGAGAAGACCATGACACCTTTCATACAGACTGGAAAGGTCCCTGGGAAGTCTCACTGCCTGGCCTGCATTAATGCCTCACCAGATGACCTTAGACATCGGACATGGAGTGGCATTAAATTCTATGTCAAAAATAGAATCACTGCAATTCGAAAACAAAATCTAAAATAAAATTCCTTTAAAATAGTTGTTTGGTTTCTATTGACTGTTTTGTATTACTTAAAGTCTTGGTAAAAAAAGATTATGTCTATGGGTCCCATTCTGAACGGCCCTGTCAAAGGGACCCACCAGGTAACAAAAACGTGTATGTGTGTGTGTGTGTGTGTGTGTGTGTGTGTGTGTGGGTGTGTGTATTGTATATATAATTATAAATGTGATTTTGGGGGGGTCTGTGGGGAGGAGGGTTTAGGGCTGGGCATGTTGGATTGTTTTTAACTAAACTGTAAAGCACTTTGTGTTACACTTTTTGTATGAAAAGCGCTTTATAAATAAAATTTGATTGATTGAAGTTTAACAAAGGAGTTGGCGAGGGAATTGTTGTTGTTGAAATCTAGTTATAAAAAATGGTCTAAAAGCATTCAATCAATCCACTGTGACAAGCAAGCGAGTTACAAGGCACAATGTTCCAACTGCAAACTAACTTATATTACAATGTTTATATAAGTGTAAATATACTTAATGAAATATAGATTGTAACGCATTAAAATTATATACTTGTCCCATTTTTATTATTTATTATTGGGCCTACAGTCCCAGTGGGTCTGCAGGTAGATCATGTGACCACTCGTTTTAAACTTGAAGGTTGTGAAGGCAGAAGTGACTAAAGCATTCGTTTAAGCAGAGTATGAGTATGTCCAAAGTTCATCTTATCTTTTAATATTTACCAAAAGGTTTCGAAGTTTCAAATGTATTCCAGGGATCTCTGTGAAGTTCCTGTTTTGGCTTATCCTTTCAATGTTTGACTCCTTAAATCCTCCTTGTTTCTCTCCCCTCCTTCCTTCCTTGAGTTACCTATGTTCATATGATCAGTTGGTGGAGCATTGACCTTTGAGCCTGAAGGTCGTGGGGCCCACCACGAGACCTCCTCCACCGACACTTACCCCACTTCGGCCGTAGCCCCCGCTGAAAGATCAAGGCTGTGATCTCACTGACAGAGCATCCTCCTGTGGACTCACTTTCTGCAGGAGGATCAGAGCAGGTGGGGAGTCCACCCAGCTCTGTGAACTGGGGGCAATTGGGTGCAACTCTGACTGCACCAGTCTAGGACCAGTCTAACCTTTCCTGCAAGCTGAATTCTCGCGGTATTTGTGAGTTCACAAACACTCGAGAATACATCTTGTCCCGCTCCCGCCAACCCTTTTCGAGTAGAACATGTAGGTGTTCAAGCCAATCACGCGCCAGTTTGGGGGTTTAGGGCGGGATATCCGGGTTTGACGAAAGCAAGAAGTGCCGGGCCATAGCAAAACAAACATGGCTACGCAGGATGACGGACGCGTAGCTGAGGCTATCAAGTCAGTTTTAGCAGAATCTCCAATTTCTTTTTTGAAAAATGAACAGCGAGAGGCTTTTTGTGCACGTCGATGACGACATAATGTTACCTGGATTGGTTTAAGTCAAACTTTGGTGGGCAGGCACACAGCGTCACTTCGCTTTAAGTATTCTGCTGCTTATCCCTCCTTTCCCCGAAAGGATTCTCCTGCAGAAGTCCCAGATTGATATTGTGGAGAACGCATTAGAGTTCTACACAATCATCAATCTGGCTCTTGCCAGGTTAGGACCAGTCCAGGACCAGTCCAGGACCAAGATCATTTTATAAATATGATGACATAGAAATAAACTTCAGATAAAAAACGAAAATGTCACAAAGGTAGGAAGACCTTTGTGGCTGGTGCTCTGTGAATTGGGTTTAGATCTGACTGCCCCCGAACCAGAAATGGATTAAAGGGAAGAAAATGGATGGATGGATGGTATGAAGACCAAAATTTACATACGCAGAATTAACTACACTAACAAAACAAAAAGCTGTCAAATTGACTTCTCTGGGAGTCCCAGTGTTAAAACACACACAATACAACTCTGTTGGGAGGCAGGGGGGAGGCAGGGGGGAGGCAGGGGGGAGGCAGGGGGGACGCGGGGGGGACGCAGGAGGGGACGCAGGGGGGGAGGCAGGGGGGACACAGGGGGGGACGCTGCAGGAGATCAGTGTAAGATGGAGCGTTTCAGAGCGAGTGACTTTAGTCGCCTGCAGTTGTTCAGGTCTTGATGAGCTGATGTTGCACTGGACCTGGACTGAATTGAACGACCTCCTGTTCTCCCTCTGCGCAGCCCTGACTCTGTAAAGATGTAAATAATAATACCTACCACTGCCTACAATCTAAAAGCCATTGTTATTGATTTCTGAGCAACCTCTCAGAGCAAACTCTGGTCTTCTGTCTTCGCCCACACTCTTACCTTTTCCTATTACAATTCTAATTATAAAGACAAGGGTTGCACTGTTTGTGCAGAACTCTCCAGGAGGTTATTATAGTATTGACCAGCACAAGAAGGAAACATTTGAATCTATGAATGTAACAGAAGCTCCTGCGGCTTTAAGTAATTGATTAGAGATTAGTAATTGCTAAAGTCAGATGTGAGGAGCATTAATGGAAAATGATATAAAATAAAAAGTGAAAATCCGTAAACAGAATTACAGAATTATAGGGACAAGATGATCTATTCTGTTGTTGAGGAATGACCATCTTTGTAAAGTCTGAGTCAGCTGCTGTTGTGATTTAGGGCTGTACGAAAATAAATTGAATTGAAGAAGCAGGTGGCAAAAAAGGCACTTCCACCAAGATCATAAAAATGCAAAGGGCCACAGTGAGCCAAAAGTACTGCAGTATTGCAAGGTTTTTCTTTTTTCAAGGTTCTTGAACTCTAGGTATGCCCCAGCGATCCAAGATGGCGCCGTATTCAAATGAATGGTTGTGCTCAGTGGCGCTTTGTGCCGGCACGGTCGCTGACATATTAGCGGAACTCACCTGGAGCTCGCAAAGATCTATGGGAAACTCGCCTGTATTTGGGCATCGTCTGGTCCTCCCGGTTCTGCGCAGTGGACGAGCTCCCATGATGCTTTGCACCAAATATGCGTGTGTGGGTCTCATGCATGCGCGCAGAGGGGCTCGGCTTCGCTCTGACCAATCAGAGCAGTTCATCAGAGCGGGAGTTAGAGCGAAAGCCAGACGAAGTGTGGATTTAAATAAAACCAAAGGATTTAAGAAGAAAAAAGTTCAGGATGACAAGGGACACTAAAATCCCCACAAAATCCGATCTTTATGAAAGCTGTAGGTTCTCTGTCAGGTTCTCTGTCAGCTGAGGTCGAGCTGTTTTAGTTTACATTGAGTTCTATGGGGAAAATTTCTGGGTAGCCCACGTGAATTTAGTCTGGTTCAGTCTGCAGTACCGCGAGAATCCCCTGAGGAGAAGAGTTCTTCAGCTATAAACTAGCAATACACTATCCAGTTATTATACTAGATCCATGACTCTAGGGGTGCTGGGAGGGGATCTGAACAATCAGCTGCAGATCTACAGAGCATTCATGGCACAGTCATGTTTCTAGATTTACAGCAGTGTCCTAAAACATCTCATTATCAAATCATGTTGTGTCCAGTTCAAACAGGAACCGGACAAAAATACTTTATGAAGCTTAAGCGAAAATTCAGACTGGGAGACAGAAGAACCGAGCTCACAGCGTTCAAAGAGTCGATCACACTCGGCTGCAGCACCACACTGCCCTCACCTGCTCTGCCCACATCAACTTCATAACGTGCAGAAGCTCCATTCAATCAGCAGCTTAATTCATGCCGCAACCCTCCTCCTCCCCATCTCCGCATTGTTCTACGGCAGCTCCTTCATCCTTCTCCAAGCTACCACCACCAGGGTCCAGGCCCAAGGGGCGTTCGTCTCATAATCTTTCTCCTTCTGCGATCGGGGTCTACGCGTCAAATACTAACCACATTTCTGTACAGCACAATAAATGTAATCTTGAAAATATTGTCCTCAGAGTCATATGTGTAGTTTTTGCAGTGTCAGATTACTGCCAAACAACATACAATTCTAATATTTTCTTTTGTCGGTTTGAGTCTCTCCAGATTCAATTTATATATAGCTGGTGAGGTTTATATACAAGACTTATATGAGGCTATAATCCTGCACGTTCAGCCATTCACTCCTCCTCCTGATGCACTGACCTTGTACGTAGAGGTGGGCTGTCCTCTTGTGGACCTCCTGCAGGTCACAGCTCACCTCCCCTTGGTACTCTCTCTGCGTGTCCTTCAGCACCAGAGTCCAGCCTTCTCCCTGAGACGGAGCCGCCTTCTCTGCGGTGATGTTAGGGTTTGTGGAGGGCACTAGACCGTTCTGCTGGGAGATGGTCAGCATGGTCTTCCCGCTCAGCTGCCAGATCATAGCGCCCCACTGTGGCCGTGTGGTGCGGCAGCTGAAGCGGGACTGGTCTCCGCGCAGGACTGTGAGGGTCTCAGGCATCAGGCTCATCTCAGCTCCTCCTGCTGAAGGCAACGGAGGGACGGAGTTCAATGGGATGTGTTAGCAATTAAGATTATTTTCTATTTCGTTTTGTTATTTTATCACCCCAGTCTCTTTTTTAGTTCTATTTCCTTTTTGTGAGATGACCTACTCTTTGTGTTTCACCCAGTGGGGGCGGGTCCCCGTTCAAAAGTGGCCACAATGACGTCGCTGACATGCTGTAATACCACCCCGGGCCGATGGGGTGGACCCGGAATAAGAATTAGCCAATGCTAACATATAGCATCTTCTTATCTCTGGAAAACGTCTTTACAGGATGGTCCAAAAGTTGGCTCTTGGCCCAAAGCTCTGTTCCACATGTGTGTCAATGCTGAGGGGAGTGAATTTTTTGGGACCAGTCTAGTTTAGTCGCTGTGGACTTTTGAATGCACTCTTTTAATTGAATGGCTGACACATGCACAGATGCGTTTTTTCACATTTTCCAGCCCCCGCGGCCATTTTGAATCATTCCATGAAAGCCCAATTTTTGGCCCATTAGTTAGAACGGTGGAGATAGGCGTGACTACGTTCGTTAATATATACAGTCTATGGTTTCACCCATGTCTTGTTGGTCTTGTGTTTTAAAACCCAGTCTCTGCCGTTTCAATTGTCTCTTGTCTTCACCCGGTTTGGTTACTTTTGTATTTTTACTCTGTATGTTGCTTCAGTTTTGTACAGCATTTCTATTTGGTATATTATGCATTATAGCAAGTAAAGGGGCAATAAATGCTGAGAGGGTCTGTTTGGACTGGGATAGTTTCACACTCAGAAGCCTTGTTGGTTCACAGGACCTTTACCTCCGTTGGTGCCGCAGACCAGGAGGAGCAGGAGGACCAGGAGGAGCAGGAGGCAGACGATAGACATGGTTCAGCAGCGAGGGCTCCTGTCTGAGCTCTCCCTCACCACAGACGCCGGGACCAGCTGCAAAAACAAAACAACAAACACTTTTCTCAGGACTGGGATTTACAGTGTGCCCTCCCCCCACCCTCATGGATCACCCTCCCCCCACCCTTATGGATCACCGTCCCCCCCACGGATCACCCTCATGGATCACCCTCCCCCACCCACATGGATCACCCTCCCCCCCCCACAGATCACCCTCACGGATCACCCTCCCCCCCACCCACATGGATCAACCCCCCCCCCACGGATCCCCCTCCCTCCCCGATCACCCACATGGATCACCCTCCCCCCACCCTCATGGATCACCCTCACGGATCACCCCCCCCCCCCACACACGGATCCCCCTCCCTCCCTGATCACCCTCATGGATCACCCCCCCCACGGATCACCCTCATGGATCACCCTCCCCCACCCACAGATCACCCTCACGGATCACCCTCCCCCCCACCCACATGGATCAACCCCTCCCCCCCCCCCCCCCCCACGGATCCCCCTCCCTCCCCGATCACCCTCATGGATCACCCTCATGGATCACCCACATGGATCACCCTCATGGATCACCCTCCCCCCACCCTCATGGATCACCCTCATGGATCACCCTCACGGATCATCCTCATGAATCACCCTCATGGATCACCCTCATGGATCACCCTCACGGATCACACTCATGGATCACCCTCATGGATCACCCTCATGGATCACCCTCATGGATCACCCTCACGGATCACACTCATGGATCACCCTCATGGATCACCCTCCCCCCACCCTCATGGATCACCCTCATGGATCACCCTCACGGATCATCCTCATGAATCACCCTCATGGATCACCCTCATGGATCACCCTCACGGATCACACTCATGGATCACCCTCATGGATCACCCTCATGGATCACCCTCACGGATCACACTCATGGATCACCCTCATGGATCACCCTCATGGATCACCCCCCCCACCCTCATGGATCACCCTCATGGATCACCCTCATGGATCACCCTCATGGATCACCCTCATGGATCACCCTCATGGATCACCCTCATGGATCACCCTCATGGATCACCCTCATGGATCACCCTCACGGATCACACTCATGGATCACCCTCATGGATCACCCTCCCCCCACCCTCATGGATCACCCTCATGGATCACCCTCACGGATCATCCTCATGAATCACCCTCATGGATCACCCTCATGGATCACCCTCATGGATCACACTCATGGATTACCCTCATGAATCACCCTCATGGATCACACTCATGGATTACCCTCATGAATCACACTCATGGATCACACTCATGGATCACCCTCATGGATCACCCTCATGAATCACCCTCATGGATTACCCTCATGAATCACCCTCATGGATCACCCTCATGAATCACCCTCATGGATCACCCTCATGGATCACCCTCATGAATCACCCTCATGAATCACCCTCATGGATTACCCTCATGAATCACCCTCATGGATCACCCTCATGAATCACCCTCATGGATCACCCTCATGGATTACCCTCATGGATCACCCTCATGGATTACCCTCATGGATCACCCTCATGAATCACCCTCATGGATTACCCTCATGGATCACCCTCATGAATCACCCTCATGGATCACCCTAATGGATCACCCTCATGGATTACCCTCATGGATCACCCTCATGGATTACCCTCATGGATCACCCTCATGGATTACCCTCATGGATTACCCTCATGGATCACCCTCATGGATCACCCTCATGGATCACCCTCATGGATCACCCTCATGGATCACCCTCACGGATCACACTCATGGATCACCCTCATGGATCACCCTCCCCCCACCCTCATGGATCACCCTCATGGATCACCCTCACGGATCATCCTCATGAATCACCCTCATGGATCACCCTCATGGATCACCCTCACGGATCACACTCATGGATCACCTCATGGATCACCCTCATGGATCACCCTCACGGATCACACTCATGGATCACCCTCATGGATCACCCTCATGGATCCCCTCCCCCCACCCTCATGGATCACCCTCATGGATCACCCTCATGGGATCACCCTCATGGATCACCCTCACGGATCACACTCATGGATCACCCTCATGGATCACCCTCCCCCCACCCTCATGGATCACCCTCATGGATCACCCTCACGGATCATCCTCATGAATCACCCTCATGGATCACCCTCATGGATCACCCTCATGGATCACACTCATGGATTACCCTCATGAATCACCCTCATGGATCACACTCATGGATTACCCTCATGAATCACACTCATGGATCACACTCATGGATCACCCTCATGGATCACCCTCATGAATCACCCTCATGGATTACCCTCATGAATCACCCTCATGGATCACCCTCATGAATCACCCTCATGGATCACCCTCATGGATCACCCTCATGAATCACCCTCATGAATCACCCTCATGGATCACCCTCATGAATCACCCTCATGGATCACCCTCATGGATTACCCTCATGGATCACCCTCATGGATTACCCTCATGGATCACCCTCATGAATCACCCTCATGGATTACCCTCATGGATCACCCTCATGAATCACCCTCATGGATCACCCTCATGAATCACCCTCATGGATCACCCTAATGGATCACCCTCATGAATCACCCTCATGGATCACCCTCATGGATTACCCTCATGGATCACCCTCATGGATTACCCTCATGGATCACCCTCATGAATCACCCTCATGGATTACCCTCATGGATTACCCTCATGGATTACCCTCATGGATCACCCTCATGGATCACCCTCATGGATCACACTCATGGATCACCCTCATGGATCACACTCATGTATCACACTCATGGATCACCCTCCCCCCACTCCCCCCACCCTCCCCGATCTCCCTCATGGAGCAGAGATAATCGACAGTGCAAACCTTCACCTTTGGCACAGACAGTTTGTCGAGTTTCTCTGACGCTCGCTTCACATCGATCTTTTCAAACTGTCGGCTCCATGTTTCTTTTCTCACTTTTTATGAATCATCAATAACTTACATTTTATCTTTGAGACGATGAAAGTCAGAGTCCTGCACTTTTGTATCAGTCTGTGGCTCAGCGTTAAAGGGGACGTACTATTCTGATCTTTAGTCATGTTTAGCTCCTGTTTTGTTCTGTTTAGTCTGTTTAGTTTTACTTCCTCTTGTGTTGATCGCCCTGAAGTCTTTCTCCTGTGTCTCAGGTTCAGTAAACTCCCTGTGCTCTCTCCCTCTTGTGTCTGAGTTGCGTTTTTGGATACTTGACTTAAAAACAGCTTTAAGTCTCTTTCCACTGAGAAAAGTCTGTCTTTAAAAGGAATGTAGAAACCCACCAAATACTCAGGGAGAAGAAAAGTACTTGTCTTTCTCGTCAGAAGAATACAGTCAGTGAGTAAGTAATATTTATTTATATAGCGCATTTCTCAGACCAAGGTCACACAAAGTTTTACGATGTTTAGAAACAGATTTTCTTCCATTCCCTCCACACAGTGATGACAAACCCTCACCTTCACTCACTCTGATCTACTGTACATGTTTCAGAGGTGGAAGAAACCGGAGCACCTGGAGGAAATAAGATCAGATCCTCTATTTGTCCCTCAGTGGGGAATGTCAGGATAGGCCCTCATCAAACATAATCTAATATTTAGGATAAATAATGGTAATCACAGACACAGGGAGAACATGCAAACTCCACACAGAAGGCCCTGTGAGAGGTGGAACTGAATCCAGAGTTCCAGACCGAACAAAAGATCATTCGTATGTGCAACAACAAACACAGCCCCAAACTCGACCAACCTTCATGGACATTGGTCTCTGCCCTCACGGGTTGTGTGTTATTTTATCATTTGAACAGTTTGATTCCCTGCATTGGCGAATTCAACCGTTTTGTAAAGTCCTCCGAGATAACTACTATTGTCATTTAAGGCGGTACAAAAAACAATATTTGAAAAAGTCTCAAACTCACTTGTGCAGCAGCAGTGTGTCCCATGGCAGCGGTGTCGTCTGGTGTGTGTGCGCTCTGGAGTTGTGTTGCCCAAAACTGCTCTGACTCCAGTTAAATATTAGCAAAGTGACCGGGAGATGTAAACACAGCACCTGAGTCACACACAGACAATGGGCCCTTCACCGCTAAAGCTGGGGGACCTGACTTTGCAGCTGAGGCGTCTCTAGATCCAAACCGTAGACTGTAAATATGAATCCACATTAATCCATACACAGCACATCCACCTTTAGCTAATGTCTGAACATCTCAAACAGGGTCTTGCACTGGTCCAGACCGGAGCAGAGAGGATTCATGGTCCGAACCAAGTGGACCAGCTGAAAATCCACTGGAGGAATGCTAACTTTCGTATTTAGCATTTTACTTTGGACCAGAGCAGAGAAAATGGTTCGAACCGAGCGACTTCTCCTTCACTGCTGCTGCTGCTTTTTATTATTAATATTGTTTTGATTTTTAGAATTATCTATTTGTTTTGTGTGTGTGGATGGATGTGTTTGGCTGTTACTGGACACTAGAATTTCTCCAACAGGGATTAATAAAGTATCTATCTATCTAAGACAAGAAGCTCCCAGAAAACCCTGAGAGATGTACTTATTTGTGTGTGTGTTTTAGGGGAAACAAAAGTCAGGAAAGTTTCTTTTTGAGGTTCAGGTCTAAGGAAAGACAGATTTGGAAGTAGAAACTGTAGAGAAAACTCAGGATGTACGATGGAGGTGAGGGAAATGACAAAGGGTCTGGGCTCGTGTTTATTGTTGATGGTAAAGATGAGATACGAACACAGGTTTTCAGAATGCACAAGAGATTATAGCACGGAGGGATGTAGATGGTCCAATCAGCAGCTGCCACGGTGCCAGTAGCTGCGGCGTCAGCGAAACAGGAAGTGGAAAATCTCTGCTTTGTGCTTTGTTAGATTTGATAAACTTGGGTTTAACCGAAATTGCTTCAAAGTGTCATAAAAGTTTCCAAAACATCAGACCCTCGAGTACTTTTCTCTCTGCAGTGGTGTCAGAGAAGGTGTGTGTGTGTGTGTGTGTGTGTGTCTGCATGTATGTGTGTCTTCATGTCTGCATATATGTGTGTGTGCGTGTATGTGTGTCTACATGTACTGTATGTGTGTCAGCATAAATGTGTGTCTGCGTGTCTGTGTCTGCATGTATGTGTGTTTGCATGTATGTGTGTTTGCATGTATGTGTGTCTGCGTGTATGTGTGTCTGCATGTATGTGTGTTTGCATGTATGTGTGTTTGCATGTATGTGTGTTTGCGTGTATGTGTGTCTGCATGTATGTGTGTTTGCATGTATGTGTGTTTGCATGTATGTGTGTCTGCATGTATGTGTGTCTGCGTGTATGTGTGTCTGCGTGTATGTGTGTTTGCATGTATGTGTGTTTGCATGTATGTGTGTTTGCATGTATGTGTGTTTGCATGTATGTGTGTTTGCATGTATGTGTGTTTGCATGTATGTGTGTTTGCATGTATGTGTGTTTGCATGTATGTGTGTTTGCATGTATGTGTGTCTGCGTGTATGTGTGTCTGCATGTATGTGTGTTTGCGTGTATGTGTGTCTGCATGTATGTGTGTTTGCATGTATGTGTGTTTGCATTTATGTGTGTTTGCATGTATGTGTCTGCATGTATGTGTGTTTGCATGTATGTGTGTTTGCATGTATGTGTGTCTGCGTGTATGTGTGTTTGCATGTATGTGTGTTTGCATGTATGCGTGTTTGTATGTATGTGTGTTTGCATTTATGTGTGTTTGCATGTATGTGTGTTTGCATGTATGTGTGTTTGCATGTATGTGTGTTTGCATGTATGTGTGTTTGCATGTATGTGTGTCTGCGTGTATGTGTGTTTGCATGTATGTGTGTTTGCATGTATGCGTGTTTGCATGTATGTGTGTTTGCATGTATGCGTGTTTGCATGTATGCGTGTTTGCATGTATGTGTGTTTGCATGTATGCGTGTTTGCATGTATGTGTCTTTGCATTTATGTGTGTTTGCATGTATGTGTGTTTGCATGTATGTGTGTTTGCATGTATGTGTGTTTGCATGTATGTGTGTTTGCATGTATGTGTGTCTGCGTGTATGTGTGTTTGCATGTATGTGTGTTTGCATGTATGCGTGTTTGCATGTATGTGTGTTTGCATTTATGTGTGTTTGCATGTATGTGTCTGCATGTATGTGTGTTTGCATGTATGTGTGTTTGCATGTATGTGTGTCTGCATGTATGTGTGTTTGCATGTATGTGTGTGTATGTGTATGATGTGTGTGTGTGTCTGCATGTATGTGTGTCTGCATGTATGTGTGCATGCATGTATGTGTGCGTGTGTGTGCATGTGTCTGAGTTTGCGTGTGTTTCTGTGTGTGTGTGTATGAACGTTCACACTAAAACACATTACACAGTGACCCATTTAAACAGTGATTCAACACAAAAACAAATTGTCGAGTAAATACTTTTTTACTTTGTGATCGCTTTGATAAAATCTATAATGAAGTCATACCTTCTGCTCTTCTCCATCTCCTGGAAAAAAAAACATTTTAAACTTTATTGTATTTATCAAACCAAAAAAACAAGGCCAAAAACTAAAATACTGAAAAAATCAAAACGTACCCCATGTTGTTGTTTCCGTGTCTACTTTATTACAACAATCACATCAAATGAGTTGTTTTTCAATGTACAAAGTGCTGATTTCCGTCGCAGTAGTGTCAGTATTTTACAAGTTGTATAGTTCTAAAATGTCGCACAATTGAAAGTAAACATTCATTAGTAAAAGACCGTGACGTCGGTCTCTGCTTCAGGTCGAAGGCATCTACACAATAGAACTTGTGTTACGTGAAGCCTGCGGATCTCTCGCTCAGTAGTTGCCATATAAGTGTCAATATCAGCGTTTGGGCTAGTGTTTGGACGAATAACAGACATTAAAAAATACTACAGGACAACACCGTCTTTGCACGTTCACAGAAGATATAAAAATTAAGTCAACAACGCAGTCGAAAGAGATTCAGAAAGCTCCTCTCGGCTCAGTCCAGGGGGGTCCAGGAGGGTCCAGCGGGGTCCAGGGGGGTCCAGGGAGGTCCAGGGTACACGGGGGAGATAGGAGGAGTCACTGGGGGGTGCTGTGGCGTTGGGGTGCCATGTATTTTGGGCTGAAAGGAAACACACACAAACAGAATTAGAAAAAGACAAAGCGTACAGGACATAAACAGAATCAGGCCTCGCCCTCTACACAGCGAGGGGCAGATCTGTGGAGGGTTTTAGAGAGAGCCCTGGTTGATCCACATTTGATTCATAGATTATTTTTTTCACAGAGCAGAAACAAAGGGATTACTTTCATTTACTAAACAAAGTAAATGTGAAACCAGAAAAATCTCGAAAAAAAATGTATTTGTCAGTGTTGCCTTTTGATTTTATCCACACTATCTCTTCGACATGTCTGTGTTTCATGTGTGTCTTTGAGAGTATTTTGAGTTTTTTAGTTATAACCTTTTAAAGTCCAGATTCTATAATTGACACTTTGCTGTGAACAAACCCAGGTATTATCGCCTAAATAAAAACAGTAAAAGAAGCTTCACGGTGTTATGAATCCACGGCACACTCTGTGATGGAGACCTGCTGCAGCTGCTCCTGATCTCCGCCATCGTCTCCTTCCACCGTCACCGACCGTTCATGCACCAGACTCATACTGGACAAAGTGGGTGAAGTGTCTTGCCCAAGGACACAATGACACTTTGGCACTTTACAGCCGCAGCTGCCCCGCTGTTGCACCTGGTGTTTGCAGAGGACTCCCATCACAGCACTGACCAAGCCCTGCCCTGCTTAGATTATGAGATCTGATGGAATAGTTCACACGAGTTTTGAGAGTATAGTAATAAGTAATAAGTAGCAGCAGTTATAAGGTTGGTATTTGTAGTATCATAGCAGTAGTTGGAGGATAATAGCAATAGTAGCAGTAGCAGTATTAAAGTATAGTAGCAGCAGTAGCAGTAGCAGTAGTAGCAGTAGCAGTAGCAGTAGTAGCAGTAGCAGTAGTAGCAGTAGCAGTAGTAGCAGTAGCAGTAGCAGTAGCAGTAGTAGCAGTAGCAGTAGTCCTGCTGCTGCTGTGGTGCACTATTGGGTGAATGAGGATCACATCAGGTGGAATAGACCTGGTCTTTAAACAGAACAACAGTAAAATGCAAAGTGAAAACCGTGACATCCACTTTTCAGCACATTCACTGCAGATTTATTTATGACTGACCTTTTAAGGAGCGTTCACACTGAGTCACAAGTGAACCAGGGGCCACTTAAAGTGAACCAATTAGAGAAAAATTACTTCATTTGTGAAACCACCGTAACTTTAGTGAAAGCTGAAGAGTTCACTTGTTCACTGGATCCAAACATGAAGCATCTTTGCACTAACTGGCTCACTTTAAGTGAACTCAGGTTCACCACCATATAGATGCAGTGGAAGCAGTAAGAAGTAAAGTAGTAGTGACAAACAGTGTTGGATTTAATTAATAACGTTAAGTAACCGTTTCTGCAGAACTCTGTCATGTGGGAATCAATTAATGAAGTCTGTTAAATGTCACAATATTGTTGTCATTCATTTACTTTTAAATCCGTCTCCTTGCTTCCTCCCTGCGTCCTCCTTGCTTCCTCCCTTCTTCCTCTCTGCTTCCTCCCTTCTTCCTCTATGCTTCCTCCCTGCTTCCTCCCTGCGTCCTCCTTGTTTCCTCCCTTCTTCCTCTCTGCTTCCTCCCTGCTTCCTTTCTGCTTCCTCCCTGCTTCCTCTCTGCTTCTTCCCTGTTTCCTCCCTTCTTCCTTTCTGTTTCCTCCCTTCTTCCTTTCTGCTTCCTCCCTTCTTCCTCTCTGCTTCCTCCCTTTTTCCTTTCTGCTTCCTCCCTTCTTCCTCCCTGCTTCCTCCTTGCTTCCTCTCTGCTTCCTCCCTGCTTCCTCCATGCTTCCTCCATGCTTCCTCTCTGCTTCCTCCCTGCTTTCTCTCTGCTTCGTCCAGTATACCAGTATACTAGGAGGAAGACAGGAGAGGACCAGGATAACACTAGGAGGAAGACAGGAGAGGACCAGGATAACACTAGGAGGAAGACAGGAGAGGACCAGTATACTAGGAGGAAGACAGGAGAGGACCAGGATAACACTAGGAGGAAGACAGGAGAGGACCAGCATAACACTAGGAGGAAGACAGGAGAGGACCAGGATAACACTAGGAGGAAGACAGGAGAGGACCAGGATAACACTAGGAGGAAGACAGGAGAGGACCACTGGGAGGAAGCAGAGAGGAAGCAGGGAGGAAGCAGAGAGGAAGAAGTGAGGCTTCTTCCTCTCTGCTTCCTCCCTGCTTCCTCTCTGCTTTGTCCATGCTTCCTCTCTGCTTCCTCCCTTCTTCCTCTCTGCTTCCTCCCTGCTTCCTCTCTGCTTCCTCCATGCTTCCTCCCTGCTTCCTCCTTTCTTCCTCCCTTCTTCCTCTCTGCTTCCTCCCTTCTTCCTTTCTGCTTCCACCTTGCTTCCTCCCTGCTTCCTCCATGCTTCCTCTCTGCTTCCTCTCTGCTTCCTCCCTGCTTCCTCTCTACTTCCTCCCTGCTTCCTCTCTGCTTCCTCCCTGCTTCCTCTCTGCTTCCTCCCTGCTTCCTCTCTGCTTCCTCCCTTCTTCCTCCCTTCTTCCTCTGTGCTTCCTCCATGCTTCCTCCCTGCTTCACTTTTGCTCCTGCGTTTCATTTGCATATTCTCCTTCTGTATCCTTCTCAAATGAACCAGTGACAGGACTGGGTCATTCTACACAAACCATTCACACATGAAATAACGTGTGCCTCAAGAGAGTCCTATGGCACTGGCACCACCCCCACTGACCCCCACCGACCCCCACCACCCCCACCGGCAGCAGCAGCAGCAGCAGCAGGGCACTTGTGGTACTCACTTAGCAGCTTCTCATAACACAGAGTGACGGAGCTTTAGGGGCCACTGACGGGGCCATGTCTCAGATCAAAACCAAAGTAAATATAAAGAAACTCAGATTCTGCGACTTCAACACTGTTGTCATGACGATGCCTCAAAACAGCGGAAAGTCCCACGCTTTGAAAATTGACTAAAAATGGATCTAAAATGTTTATTGTCCTGTCTTTCTCCTAGTGTCATGCTGGTCCTCTCCTGTCTTCCTCCTAGTGTCATGCTGGTCCTCACCTGTCTTTCTCCTAGTGTTATGCCGGTCCTCTCCTGTCTTCCTCCTAGTGTTATCCTGGTCCTCACCTGTCTTCCTCCTAGTGTTATGCCGGTCCTCTCCTGTCTTCCTCCTAGTGTTATCCTGGTCCTCTCCTGTCTTTCTCCTAGTGTCATGCTGGTCCTCTCCTGTCTTTCTCCTAGTGTCATGCTGGTCCTCACCTGTCTTCCTCCTAGTGTTATCCTGGTCCTTTCCTGTCTTCCTCCTAGTGTTATCCTGGTCCTCTCCTGTCTTTCTCCTAGTGTTATGCTGGTCCTCTCCTGTCTTCCTCCTAGTGTTATCCTGATCCTCTCCTGTCTTCCTCCTAGTGTTATGCTGGTCCTCTCCTGTCTTCCTCCTAGTATACTGGTCCTCTCCTGTCTTCCTCCTAGTGTTATCCTGGTCCTCTCCTGTCTTTCTCCTAGTGTTATCCTGGTCCTCTCCTGTCTTCCTCCTAGTGTTATGCTGGTCCTCTCCTGTCTTCCTCCTAGTGTTGTGCTGGTCCTCTCCAGTCTTTCTCCTAGTGTTATGCTGGTCCTCTCCTGTCTTCCTCCTAGTGTTATCCTGGTCCTCTCCTGTCTTCCTCCTAGTGTTATGCTGGTCCTCTCCTGTCTTCCTCCTAGTGTTATGCTGGTCCTCTCCTGTCTTCCTCCTAGTATACTGGTCCTCTCCTGTCTTCCTCCTAGTGTTATCCTGGTCCTCTCCTGTCTTTCTCCTAGTGTTATCCTGGTCCTCTCCTGTCTTCCTCCTAGTGTTATGCTGGTCCTCTCCTGTCTTCCTCCTAGTGTTGTGCTGGTCCTCACCTGTCTTTCTCCTAGTGTTATGCTGGTCCTCTCCTGTCTTCCTCCTAGTGTTATCCTGGTCCTCTCCTGTCTTCCTCCTAGTGTTATCCTGGTCCTCTCCTGTCTTCCTCCTAGTGTTATGCTGGTCCTCTCCTGTCTTCCTCCTAGTGTTATGCTGGTCCTCTCCTGTCTTCCTCCTAGTGTTGTGCTGGTCCTCTCCAGTCTTTCTCCTAGTGTTATGCTGGTCCTCTCCTGTCTTCCTCCTAGTGTTATCCTGGTCCTCTCCTGTCTTCCTCCTAGTGTTATCTTGGTCCTCTCCTGTCTTCCTCCTAGTGTTATGCTGGTCCTCTCCTGTCTTCCTCCTAGTGTTATCCTGGTCCTCTCCTGTCTTCCTCCAAGTGTTATGCTGGTCCTCTCCTGTCTTCCTCCTAGTGTTATCCTGGTCCTCTCCTGTCTTCCTCCTAGTGTTATCCTGTACCTCCATCTGCCTGTACCTCCATCTGCCTGTACCTCCATCTGCCTGTACCTCCATCTGCCTGTACCTCCATCTGCCTGCACCTCCATCTACCTGTACCTCCATCTGCCTGTACCTCCATCTGCCTGTACCTCCATCTGCCTGCACCTCCATCTGCCTGTACCTCCATCTGCCTGCACCTCCATCTACCTGTACCTCCATCTGCCTGTACCTCCATCTGCCTGTACCTCCATCTGCCTGTACCTCCATCTGCCTGAACCTCCATCTGCCTGTACCTCCATCTGCCTGTACCTCCATCTGCCTGTACCTCCATCTGCCTCCAGCTGTTTCCCATTTACAGATAAAACCATAAAGACCGTGTTTGACTTCACTCTGAAACAAACAGGAGCTCAGGGGATGGACCGCAGCGCTGCGCAGAAACGTGCACCTGAAAGACCTCCTTTCGTTTTCATTCATCTGATAGAAGAGGTGTGAGGACCGCTGCATTGAGCCGGACCGCCCTCTGGTGGTAGATCAGAGCATTACAACTCACTACTCAGACAGAAGCTATTATCGCGTTCAAAAGAGGATTACGTTGGAATAAATGCTTTAATAAAATAATCATAATCATAATAAAACACTAATAATAATAATAATAGTAATAATAATAATAGTAATAATAATAATAATAGTAATAATAATAATAATAACAATAATAATACAATAATAGTAATGATAATAATAATAATAGTAATAATAATAAAAGATAATAATAATAATAAAAATAATAATACCGATAATGATAATGATAATAAAAATAATAATAATAATAACAACAATAACAATAATAATAATTACAATAACAATAACAATAATAATAATAATAACAACAATACCCCCCAGCTCTCTCGCCCACCTGACCTCAGCAGCTCTGACTCTCATTTTTCAAATCCCGGCTCAAAACCACAGACTGTATTTTTATGGACAATGCAAAAGCAATGAAGCCCAAAGTGCTCATGGACAAAGTTGCTGCTCCAACTTGCTCTGGTTGGGGTTAGGTGGTAGGTGAAAATTGACTTTTCTCAAACTTTGGGTCAGATAATAACGCAAACCGTAAAGGTTAATAGGATATCAATGGATTTCAGATGTATGTCCAGTAATTAAAGGTGATGTCCGTGACTTTAACTGTATTTCATGTGACCGAGGGACACTGCACAAGTGTATACAGTGTGTGTAGAGTGTTTCTCAACGATTAAATATTCACAACAGTCTCTCCCTTTAACACAACTACAACCAGGAAACTGTTCTCTCTCTCTCTCTTTTATCAGTTTCGCTCTCTCTTCTCAGTCTCTCTCTCTCTTATCAGTCTCTCTCTCTCGCTTTCTCTTCTCAGTCTCTCTCTCTCTCCTCAGTCTCTCTCTTCTCAGTTTCTCTCTCTCTCTTCTTAGTCTCTCTCACTCATTTCTCAGTCTCTCTCTCTCTCCTCAGTCTCTCTCTCTTCTCAGTTTCTCTCTCTCTCTTCTTAGTTTCTCTCTTCTCAGTGTCTCTACTCAGTGTCTCTCTTCGCAGTCGCTCTCTCTCTCCCTAGTCTCTCTCTCTTCTCAGTTTCTCTATCTCTCTTCTTAGTTTCTCTCTACTCAGTCTCTCTCTCTACTCAGTGTCTCTCTTCTCAGTGTCTCTACTCAGTGTCTCTCTTCTCAGTCGCTCTCTCTCTCTCCTCAGTCTCTCTCTCTTCTCAGTTTCTCTCTCTCTCTTCTTAGTTTCTCTCTACTCAGTCTCTCTCTCTACTCAGTTTCTCTCTCTCTCACTCTCCTCAGTCTCTCTCTCTCTCTTTCACAGTCTCTCTCTCTCTCTTTCACAGTCTCTCTCTCTCTCCTCTCTCTCTCTTTCTTAACAGTGTGCATCTTACCTGTGCAGTAGTAAGTCCTCCACTATTCAGCCTCTTCCTCCTGCACAAACAGAGCAACACAATCAAACATTTAACACACACAGCTCATTCAGAGACAACATGTCGGCGGTGCATTTGAGGGGATGGACGTGGGGTCACTGGGATCATAATGGGGGTCACTGGGATCATAATGGGGGTAACTGGGATCATAATGGGGGTCACTGGGATCATAATGGGGGTAACTGGGATCATAATGGGGGTCACTGGGATCATAATGGGGGTAACTGGGATCATAATGGGGGTCACTGGGATCATAATGGGGGTAACTGGGATCATAATGGGGGTAACTGGGATCATAATGGGGGTCACTGGGATCATAATGGGGGTCACTGGGATCATAACGGGGGTAACTTGGATCATAATGGGGGTAACTGGGATCATAACGGGGGTAACTTGGAGCTGGAGGTTCTGAAGGCAGCAGTTGAGGTCCAGACCAGTCCTGGGACAGTCCAGACCAGTCCTGTGACAACAGTATGTTGGGTTGTTGTTAGCTAGCTGTGAGCTGCTAGCAACAACACGGCGACGGAACGTGGTCATATAAGACCATACAGGCACCAAACTCGCTAAATTAAAGCTGGGTTATGTACATTTTCCCTTTCATTAACAGTTCATGTTGGTTGTGCCCAAATATGTGAAACTGTGTTCTGCAGGTTTGAAAGAAAAAAATCAAACTAATAAACAAACGAGAGACGACACTGATAGGAATTCCAATGAGTGAATTTTGCTTTTTAAAAATCGTATGTGTACAACCACACACAGACACACAACCACACACAGACACACACACACACACACACACAAACACACAGACACACACACAAACACACAGACACACACACACACACACACACACAGACACACACCCACATACACACACACAAACAAGCACGCACACACACACACACACAAACACACACACACACAGACACACACACACATACACACACAAACACACACACCCTTAACGTGTCGCTGTGACATTGGTATCAACACGAGAGGAAATGACATCACTCAAACACACGACCATATATGGCCCTCCGACACCAACTTAAACTCCTCATGCAACCCTTAGACCATTGTGAAACATGCTGGGCCTAACGCGCCATCCCACCTCTTGCGCCTCCGCCTCTTCTTCCTCCTGCACCAGAGAAAAAATCAGGGAAAGTGAAAAGTTTGCATGAGGGGTATGTTTCTAGAGCCGTTACAGTCATGAATTGGGCTGGAATGTACAAGGCAACAGTGTGGCCGTCATGCTGCGTCTGAGAAAAGATGAAAAGAACATGCAAGAGGAGAGAATATGGAAGAGGAGAGATGGAAGAGGAGAGATGGGGAACTACCTGGCTGCTGTGGTCGTCTGCCTGTAAGAGCAAAAAGGCAAAAGGCTCAAAGCTAAAGCAGGCTCATGGAATGTTCCGGGACAAGAGAGATATCGTTTGGAGCAAGTTTGCAAAATACATACAAGTGGCACAGTGCAAAAAATGGCACTAAAAAAGGAAAATCTCAAAAGCCTTAGGAGGAATAAAGGCTTCACTGCAAAAAAATGATAGAATATGAGGTCATAAATGCTTGAATGGAGTGGTATAATCTTGATTTGCGCACGTTTTGACGGTCTGAAAACAAGATTTACCATTGGGACGGGTAAAAATGTCTTGTTTTAAAACCATACAAGGCGAATCTAGAAATGTCTCCCTTGGAATGAGACAAAAATTGTAACGGCATTTGAAAAAAGACCAAATGGCTCGTTCCATTGGCAAAGCTTGTTTTAATTTTTTATTTTTTGTCACTTTCTGCAGAGTGGATCCTGACGCTGTTGAGTGTCTCTCCATTATTTGCATTTGGACCTGGATTCTGCACTTCTTCATTAACAACTATTTACTCTGGCTTTTGGCAACTAAGAGGCACTGTTGTAATATCTGTAGATCTGTTTTTACTGAAGCTTTTATTGTGATTGATGTATTATACTGTGCAGCACTTTGGGCAGATATTCATTTAACTTTGACAAATCTCAAATGTCTTTTGACAGTATTTACTAAATGAATTTGTCATTATATATTTCCCACAGACTCTGTCAAGACAAAACTAATATTGTTTAAAAAAAACAAAACAAAAAGGGAGCATGCAGTACCGCTTTTGGCCAGATGTATACATATTGCTCTTCATATTTGTCGTGTCAAAAACTGCATGAGTAAAAGATTCTGGAATATCAAAATATAGCCAAAAAAGCCAGAATTTACATAGAAAAAGTATGAGCCATTGTGCTACGGCAAGAATAAAAAACACAGAGAAATAATCCTCATTTGAGTCTTATCTGACTTGAAAATACTGACTTTTGAGTTTATTATTATCGGCAGAACATTTGAAAAGAATTTGCTCAAGAAGGCATCAAACTTTATTTGTATGGCGCTAAAATATCCCTGGATAGATTTTACCTTACACATGTTGAACTTATCTGTTTTTGAAAATTACTATTACTTTAGGAGCCGCCTAATAAAACATTTCTGAACCAGCATTAATTATAACCAAATGTGTTCTGTGCCAGTTTGCGGCAATTGTGCAAATATTTGTTTTAAATGAATAAGTTCTGATTTTTGGAAACTGTAAAAGTAAATGTAACTTTTCCTTAGAAGAAAAACATAAACAAAGAGAAGAGATGATTTCAGGCAGATACATGTTCTTACAAGTGTGTGCCCTGACTGCACTCAGCCAACTGTAGTGTGTGTGTGTATGTGTATGCGTATGTGTATGTATATGTATCGGTGTGTGTGTGCGTGTGTCTGTGTGTGTGTGTGGTGAAAGGTCAAATTATAAGATATTTAGGGAGTGTTCACACTTATTAGCAGGGCCGGCCCTACCCAATAAGCACTCAGGGCCTCCAAGCCACCAGAAGGCCCCCAACAATACTTTCAATTTGAATTAATAATGAAAAAGGACAAATACATAACGCTAAAAGAAACACACAAAGGGGGTCATATATACCAATAGTTTTTTTTTCATCCTGACATTTCGTATTATGAAATGTTAATATCAATGGTTTTGTCCAAATGGCAGTGATAAGGCAAGGGCCCTGAGTGAATCCAGGTTTGGGCCCTCTAACCTGGATTCCTAATTGACAACTTTGTAAGGTCTATGCAAAAATATCTGAAACTGAATTGAGTAGGGCCTGGTAGAGATGGTGGAAACAGGGCTAAAGGTTCCTCATCCCTGTTTCCCAAGCGTTAGCCCAAGCGTGAACACACCCTTAAATCCAATGCAATCTGTAAGAGAGAACAGAAGATGTGGAAAAACGTCAAAGAACTAGGTCAGGTCAATCTACCTCAAGCTCCCGCAGCTCTTCTTCCTCCTGGGGGGGGGGGGGGGGGGGCAGACAGAGAGCGGGTGAGCAGGGCTGGAAGAGCACACACCAGCAGCAAACACACATGCAAGCACTGAGCGAGGGGTTAGAGTCAGAGAACAGGGGAGGCCAGGAGGCTGCGGCACGACTGGGAAGAAACGAGAGATGGTTAGAGACAGAAGTGGCAGAGAAAGAGAGAAGAGAGAGAGAGAGAGAGGGGGGGAGTGGGATATCTCAAAGAGAAGACGGCACCAGAAGACCACCGGCCCCGGAGGAGACTATGGGAGACTTCAGCGCACGTTACCTCTGAATGCAACTCCTCTTCCTCCTGTGAAAGTAAACCAACAGATGGAGACAAGGCCAAGCGCATCAGCTCCGACCAGTGTTCATTTTGACAAAACATCAGAACAATCCCGTTCAGTTTTAGTCATAGTTAAAGCTGGGGTATCTAACTCTCAACCCATTCTGTTATTTTAAAAAAAACTCTCAAAATAGTTTGGTTCTCTGACTAGTTTTCACATGCATGGATTTTTGCCTCTGTCACATGTTTAAATAAGCTTTTTTAGACTGAAAATTGAACATAGAAGACCACCCTCATTCAGCCAATCAGCTCTCACCCCAAAGAGTCAAATAGTGCCTCACCGGGCTCTTGAAGAATGCAAATGTTATGTATTGTGGTGTGATTTTAGAGGACTCTTTCTGTTGGGACAAAAACAAGTATTATGTATGGGGGAAACAGTTAAGGACTCCAGCTTTAAGCCATAGTAATTTAGTGATTGCTTCATGGCTCATGTACAAACGTGTTCTTAGACGAGGAGTTTGTGTTTAATCTAGTTTGGGCCTTTTGGAAAGAAAAGTGGAACATGGGTACAGTCTAGTCCACGTGTTTCTTTCATTCATTCACTGTTCAGTTTTAAAGCTGGGGTACCTAATGCTTTTTTAAGTAAAAAAAAGATAATACATGTTCTTTACCCCCAACAGAAACAGATTTCAGTAAAATATTGTGAATAAATCAGACCACAACATGGTTTCTAATACCTTCAACGTATTAGAAACCATGTTATCTTTTGCATCTGAGCCTTGCGAGTCACTATTTGACACTTTGAGCTGAGAGTTGATTGGCTGAGGGTGGTCATCACTTTTTTGTCTGAAAAACCTGATCCAGAGATGTAAGAGAGGCCAAAAATACATGTATGTGGAACTGATTGTTAGATAGTTTTGTGAGTTCAAGGACCTGCTGCAAAAAAAAAGCAATTTGCAAAAACGACCAGGCTCCTTATTTGAAGTGCTAAGCGTCTTCACTGCTACGGAAAACGATGTAGTTCTAGCGGCCAGCCAGTTGGGGGCAGTAGTAGTAATAATGATAATAATAAATTATACATTGGTTTTATACAGGGCTTTTCAGGACACTCAAAGACGCTTCACATGTCTTAGCCACAGCTGCCCTGGGGCACACTGACAGAAGAACTTTACAACACGACACACGCAAACCCCAGCAGTAGAACCCATAACAATCTCCTCAGGCCGCCGCAAAGACGTAAAAGAATTCACCAACATGATTCTGCATTTAACAACAGCAGCGAAAATGGAACTAGAGATTCACGTGATTTTGTTTGGACGAATAAGTAGAATTGTTCCTCCGTGAGCCGCCGCCATTGTTGTTTACGTTCGTTCTCGGCTCCTACGCATGTCCAAAAGTATGTGCGAGAAGTATTCACACATTTTTCCGCTCCCTGTCTCTGTGTGAACAAAAGTCCAATCCGATTCCCAAGTCTATTGTATTAGAATCGCAGTGTCTCTGAGAGAGATTTTCGTACATAGTGGGTTGAAAATTAAGTACCCCAGCTTTAACATGAGAGCAAGTTTTGATATAGCTTTAACAGGCAACAGTACAACACTGATTACAACCATGAGGATTACATTTCAGTGAACAAAATGAACACTGGGTCAGACAAGGTGTTGAGACTGTGTACATACTGTGCATTCCCATCTCAAAGTCTGTATGTGGAAAAAGACACACATATGTTAGAGGGACCCCTACTGTTAAACTGTGCAAACTACACCTGAACTCATCCAGTGTGTTTCTACAGAGAGAAAAGTGTAAGGTTAGTGTATTTAAAGTCATGGGAGGTGCATTAAAAATATATATATATATCTGACTTGTTCTACTATACTGCACAATACAATTTAATGAAAAGGTTTAAAAGGGAATGATGGGACAAAAATTTAAAAAAAATCCACGAAAGCAGTGGTTCCGACTGGTATCGCAGAATATGTATACTGCAGTATTTTATTACAATTACATAAAGTGTTTTGGCACAAACCAAGACCAAGATCCAGTCCTTTGACAGATTAGCCCCCAGCTCTTGTTTAAAACCACCCAACTCTGTGTATGTATATATGTGTGTTTGTGTGTGTCTTGTGTGTGTATGTACCCTATGTATGTGGGTATGTACTGTATGTATGTATTTCTGTATGTGTATGTGTGTCTATGTGTGTGTATGTATATGTATGTATGTAACAAAATAGAAACCACCAGAAAAAGGTTCGTACAGTGAGAAAACGCCAATGCACTAAATCATAAATCTGATGTTACCAGTCTTTTTTTTGTAATTTGCCCAAATACTGTATTCTTATCAATCATTTACACTTTAAATGCTTCATATTATTTATAAGAAACTATGTTGGAACCACTGCTCTGTTAGAGAAGCACACGGAGGAATCTGTGCAGGAGAAATGAGAAGCAGTCAAATCTTACCTCCACTTCCTGTTAAAAGAAACAACAATGTATGAACGTTAAACTAAAATCAACGCGTGTACACAAACATTTAAAGCTTATAGAAGTTGCTACATACACATATAGAAGTTGCTACATACACATATAGAAGTTGCTACAGGCGCCTATAGAAGTTGCCACATACACATATAGAAGTTGCCACATACACATATAGAAGTTGCTACATACACATATAGAAGTTGCTACATACACATATAGAAGTTGCTACATACACATATAGAAGTTGCTACATACACATATAGAAGTTGCTACATACACATATAGAAGTTGCTACAGGCACCCATAGAAGTTGCCACATACACATATAGAAGTTGCTACAGGCACCCATAGAAGTTGCCACATACACATATAGAAGTTGCTACAGGCGCCCATAGAAGTTGCTACATACACATATAGAAGTTGCTACATACACATATAGAAGTTGCTACAGGCGCCTATAGAAGTTGCCACATACACATATAGAAGTTGCCACATACACATATAGAAGTGTCCTACCTGTTCCTCCTCCTCGTCTGCTGCAGCCTGCTGTAAGAAAACACAGATACGTCTTATTAACTGCACAACAAAAAAACTCATCAAAAAAAATAAAAAAATAAACACAAAATGGAAACACAACACAAGGTGGAATGTGGCAAACCCTGGAGACGCACTCGACAAATGAGTCATAAACACACAAAAAAACACAGTAAATGCAGAGACTGAAAACATATTATCGCCATATGCAAAAGAAAAAAAAGGGTTTCACAGAGAGGAAAGGATGTGTTAAAGAAAAAACAATATACTGTATTTTTTGCACTATAAGGCGCACCTGATTATAAGGTGCGCCTTATAATCAGGTGCATGGTTGAAATGAAAGGCTTTTATGGTCGCCTAATTCTTGGGTTTCAGATGACGTCAGGGCAGTGGCGGGATTAACAAACGTAGGACAGGACGTGCCGTATCCTGGCGGGGCAGTCTGCCGGGTTTATACACGGAGATATAGTAGAAGAAGAAGCGCTGTCAAAATGCCATATTTTTGTGCGGTGTACGCTTGTAGCAACCGCACAAATAGAGAGAAAGACAAGAGTTTGTTCATGTTCCAACTGTGGTCTCATATAAAGGAGGAAGAAATCCCTGGAATGAGGCGGGCGAGGTGGATCAAGGCTTTCCCAGATAAGCGCCCCCTGCAGGCCACCCCAATGAAACGCAGCAATTTCTTCGGTTTTTCTTTCTAAAAATTCCCGAAATCAAGACTATTTTGAGAAATATTTGTTAGTACTCCCTTAGAATTAAGTGTCCCCAATTAAGACTGTTCCAACAACCTTACACCGCACAGGAGGAGAGCCTTTGACTCCAAAACAGACACGATTTACATGGTTTTCATTGGGAGCAAAACTGAGTTGTCCCGCCTCTGCTCATTCGCCCCCTACTGGTCAGTTTAATGAAACCCAAGAATAGTGTGAAAAATATGGTATATCATTTTTGTGGAATAGAAGTGATATGATTCTTTTTACTTTGTCCTTTTGTGTTTTAAAATCGTAATATTAAGTAGTAAAATATATGGTGAAATAAATGAAAAAATGTGTTCCAGCTGTAACTCCCTGTGCCACCAGCAGAGGGAGGGACCACTCCCATGCACATTATATTTGTATGTAATATCACCTGAGGAATTACCAAATCTATTCTGTTTTAAAAGGCAGAAAACTGCTCAGAGTGTGATGTCATAGTGGTACAATGACATCATACCATCACAGGACTGAGACAGGAGCGTTCAGACAGAAGGGGCAGAGTTACATGTTTGTGCAGACATTAGCATGGATGGGTCTAAAAACAACTCCAGGTCTGTGACTGATGCAACATGGTTAAAAGCTCAAAAAAGTTGATTTTGTGATGATCATGTTTACTTTAAAGGAATCATTTATTTTCAATCTCACTCTTAAAGGTTTATAGGAGGATTTTCTACTTCCGGGCGGATCATCAAGACTATTGGTCCTCCTGATTGTCAATCATTCTGGTGATACGTGTTCGTCCAATCAGACAAGAGAGTTTTTTCAAAAAGTGGAGAGTGTGGTTCTTTCTTAAATTTGGTAAAATCCTCCTATTTACAGTTCCTTTTAGCGATTTCTGCTTACATGTCTTAGTAAAAAAGACCTGGCTCGTTTACAGGTCGTCCAAAATTCTGCTGCAAGGCTTTTGACCCGCACCCACAGGAGACCACATTACCCCTGTCTTGAAGGCCTTACACTGGCTCCCTGTCTCACACAGAATACATTTTAAAATTCTGGTGTTGACATTTAGGGCCCTTCATGGTCAGGCGCCTGAATACATCCAGGGCCTGATCCACCCTTATGTCTCCAACAGGAGTCTGAGGTCCTCTACTCAGAACCTGTTGATAGTCCCCGGACTCGTTTCAAAACCAGAGGAGACAGATCCTTCCAGGCAGTTGATCCTCGCCTTTGGAATGAGCTTCCTCAGTCTCTGCGTATCATAGAGACTGTTGATGATTTTAAGTCCCAACTAAAGACACATTTGTTTGGACAGGCTTTCTCGCACCATTGTTCATAGGCCTCTGTGAATGTAAATTGTGTTTTCTGTGTTTGTTTTATCTGACTTGTATGTGTATTTTGTATTTTAATGTGTGAAGCGCTTTGTGACCCTGGTCTGTGAAAGGCGCTATACAAATAAACTTTACTTACTTACTTACTTACTTTCTTTAGTGATTTGACAGACATTGAAATAAATGTTGTAGTGTTTCTCTTGATGATTGTGTACACTTGTCCCTAGCAAAAAATATAATTAAAAATAAAACAAATTACATAAATTATTCAGCTTTGATACTGCTGAATAGTTATTGTATATCATAATAACAAACAGGATTATTAATGAATCTATGAGTCTCAAATTATTTATTTTTCAAATCAAGAAGTGGTCCTTAAATGTTTTATTGAATGTGTTGATTTGTGCCGCTACACTGGCCATGTCACCGTGGAAATGTTTTTTTATTATTTTATCTGCGCTAAAATCCCTACCAAATAAACACAGACAAAAGACAAAAGATCAACAAGAAAGTGGCAAACTGTGGACGTGAAATCAAGGGCTGTGGGAGCAAGGGTCTGGAATGCAGGGAAAATAGATACTCACACATGCAGGAAAAAAACACTTGTGCAAACAATGCTTCAGGGACAGGAACAGGCCTTAAAGTTGGGGTACCTGACTTTCAAATCACCAAAAAATATCTAAGCAATAAAATAATAGTTTCTGGCTCATACACAGTTGGTTCTTATTTTACTAGTTTTATCACCTGTATTTTTGGCCTCTGTTACATCTTTGGATCAGCCCAAAGGGTCAAATAGTGACTACAATGGTCCTCTGATTCAAAAAGTTTATTATTTTTATAAGACCAGAGTGGCAAAGTGCGGATCAAAGAGACAATACAAACATGGAAACGTGACCCTGGGACTATAAACCGGGACGAGGGGGCTTGTTATTATTATAGATCCATGTAATTATTATAGATCCATGTAATTATTATAGATCCATGTTATTATTATAGATCCATGTAATTATTATAGATCCATGTTATTATTATAGATCCATGTTATTATTATAGATCCATGTTATTATTATAGATCCATGTTATTATTATAGATCCATGTTATTATTATAGATCCATGTTATTATTATAGATCCATGTTATTATTATAGATCCATGTTATTATTATAAATCCATGTTATTATTATAGATCCATGTTATTATTATAAATCCATGTAATTATTATAGATCTATGTTATTATTATAAATCCATGTTATTATTATAGATCCATGTTATTATTATAGATCCATGTTATTATTATAAATCCATGTAATTATTATAGATCTATGTTATTATTATAAATCCATGTTATTATTATAGATCCATGTTATTATTATAAATCCATGTAATTATTATAGATCTATGTTATTATTATAAATCCATGTTATTATTATAGATCCATGTTATTATTATAGATCCATGTTATTATTATAGATCCATGTTATTATTATAGATCCATGTAATTATTATAGATCCATGTTATTATTATAAATCCATGTAATTATTATAGATCCATGTTATTATTATAAATCCATGTTATTATTATAGATCCATGCTATTATTATAGATCCATGTGTTATTATTATAAATCCATGTAATTATTATAGATCCATGTTATTATTATAAATCCATGTTATTATTATAAATCCATGTTATTATTATAGATCCATGCTATTATTATAGATCCATGTTATTATTATAGATCCATGTTATTATTATAAATCCATGTAATTATTATAGATCTATGTTATTATTATAAATCCATGTTATTATTATAGATCCATGTTATTATTATAGATCCATGTTATTATTATAGATCCATGTTATTATTATAGATCCATGTTATTATTATAAATCCATGTAATTATTATAGATCCATGTTATTATTATAAATCCATGTAATTATTATAGATCCATGTTATTATTATAAATCCATGTTATTATTATAGATCCATGCTATTATTATAGATCCATGTTATTATTATAAATCCATGTAATTATTATAGATCCATGTTATTATTATAAATCCATGTTATTATTATAAATCCATGTTATTATTATAGATCCATGCTATTATTATAGATCCATGTTATTATTATAGATCCATGTTATTATTATAAATCCATGTAATTATTATAGATCTATGTTATTATTATAAATCCATGTTATTATTATAGATCCATGTTATTATTATAGATCCATGTTATTATTATAGATCCATGTTATTATTATAAATCCATGTAATTATTATAGATCCATGTTATTATTATAAATCCATGTAATTATTATAGATCCATGTTATTATTATAACTCCATGTAATTATTATAGATCTATGTTATTATTATAAATCCATGTTATTATTATAGATCCATGTTATTATTATAGATCCATGTTATTATTATAGATCCATGTTATTATTATAAATCCATGTTATTATTATAGATCCATGTTATTATTATAAATCCATGTTATTATTATAGATCCATGTTATTATCATAGATCCATGATGTAGTTCAGAGCATCGCTTTGACAGTTTTCTTTGTGATCCACGGATTTGCGGCTGTACCCGTCTGTCTCTGTGTGTGTACGTGTATGTGCATGTGTCTGTCTCTGTGTGTTTGTACAGGCGTCTATCAGTGTGTGTGTGTGTCTGCCTCTGTGTGTGTACATATCTGTGTGCGTCTGCCTCTGTGTGTGTACATATCTGTGTGTGCGTGTGTCTGTGTGCGTGTGTGTCTGCCTCTGTGTGTGTACATATCTGTGTGCGTGTGTCTGTGTGCGTGTGTGTCTGCCTCTGTGTGTGTACATATCTGTGTGTCGTGTGTCTGTGTGCGTGTGTGTCTGCCTCTGTGTGTGTACATATCTGTGTGCGTGTGTCTCTATGAGTGCGTGATGTGCAGCAGTTCTGTAAATAATTATAGCAAATTTTCATATAAAATAGAAATTAAAACGTCTCATTTTAATAAATACTGTGTTTCATAAAGTCATGTCTGTGTCAGATCTTATCTGTGGTGAAATCAGACACTTTGATCATGTGTGTGACGTGGAACACGTCTGCTGTGTCATTTGCATATTGTCCCCTAGATCCAGGGGTGTCCCAATTCTCAGGGAGAATATCCTGTGAGTGCACTCATCTATGGGAAGACACTTTTCTGGTGAGGGCACTCACACCTGAAGGGCCCTCAGAATTGGGACGGGGGCCACACTTGGGATTCTGTTCTGAAGAAGTCGGACTGCAGAGGGCGCTGTCGTCCTGCCTCTGGCGGTAGGAAGACAGCGCCAAAAACGTTATAAAACAGCTGATATGTCTTGTCACTGCACGCAAGGAACAAAAAATACACTCTGGTCTTAAAAAAAAAATCCATAGGGCTCTTTCTCTTTCTGTTGGGGAAAAACTATGTGTGCTGTTTATGAGAACAAAAGTTAGGTACCCCAGCTTTAAATCATAACTAAATGGAAATGGAACAGAAGGAAAGGGTCCAGGAGCACTGAATGGGAGGACGAAAGCAGCTTCATGAGAGCGGAATGTTGCCAAAATGAATCTAGAAAAGGATCAAACTGGGAATGTTTGATGGAGGAGTGAGACAGAGGCGGAGGGAGAGATGGTGCTATTACTGTGTCGTCCTCTGCCTGCTCTTCTACTTCCTCTTCCTCTTCCCCTTCCTCTTCCTCGTGTCCTTCTGCAGCCTCCTCCTCCTCCTCCTCCTCAGCCTCAGCCTCTCCAATCTCTTCTTCATCGTGGGCTTTTCCATTGCGCTCCTCCACCGGCACCTCGTTTTCAGGATTTGGGGAAAAATAAGTTGTCATCAAAGCATGTAAGCATCAGTGCTGTGGCGTGTCCCAAAACGGCACGGCACAGCACAGTACGGCAGGGAGGAAAACGGTTACTTTGTCGAGGAATGTTCGGAATGACACGTCTTATTCACCTTATGTTCATTTTGGATGGATTTGTGTGTAAAGCTGTCTTATGAATTACAGTATGTGTCCATTATTTTATTTTTTTACCAGGATCTCTAGAGAATTGAGAAAAGAATTGAGCGTGGGTGCTGTTAAAAAGCATTCAGAAGTAAATGTGGAAGGAATAAGGTGAATAAAATTTGGTTCCTACAAAGGTGAAAGGGAACAGTCACAGCATCAACCTTATTATGACCAAAAATTAGACATATTTGATTGGGGGAAAAAAACAAGAGTGTCAACAAGCAAAAAGTGCAGAATTTGTCACGTGTCAACAGAGGGCTGTGGGAAGAACAAAAGAACGTGCCTGGAGTGAAGAATTACAGTGTGTGGCTTTGAAAACAGAAACAAATCCATAAATTAAATGGTAGATAAACTTAATGTGACACTTAACTTATTGACTGCCAGCCGTTTTTGATGATTTCACTGATTGTCAAGGCCCACAGAATATTATGGGCTATGACTATGTGGAAGTTTGACACCAGATTCTGAAAGAGTTGGTAGCTATTTTTTTTCTCCTTTAATCCCATGTTGAAAAGAGAAGGAAGTTTCTCAGGGAATTGCGTCAATGGCAGTCAATGAGTTAAAGGGGACATAACCTGATTCTGTTCTATGGATTTCTCAATATATCCCTCCCCAAAAGGTTTCTCACTTTTTCTCAGAGTTTTTTGTTGTTTTTTGCAGATGCAGGAGGGTCTAAGGACAACAATAATCCCGGACATTTATGAATATGGACATTGGTTAACCCACTCATGGACCAAGGGCTCCTTTGTGTTTGTTATTATTGCATTTCCTGTGTTTGATTCTCTGATCTGTCGTTGGAGGATCGACAACTTTGTAAACTCCTCAGAGACGACGCTGCTGTGATTTAGGGCTGTGCACAAATACATTTAATGAAATAGTTCTTTATAATATGAATATCTATTACCATCGTGGCTCTTCATTAAATACATGGTTGATATTAATGTTTAGATTGAGCTAAAAGGATGTTATAGAAGAAACATGTCGTGTAGCTCTGGGTTAAGAGCAGAAGGGCAGACAAAATTATGATTATTTTCTCCTTCGAGCAAAAATGACAACAAAGATCACAGATTCAGAAATGAAAATTGCCAAAGAATGTACGTAAACCCGGGGGAGGGGCTTTAGGTGCTGGTGGTCAGATATAAACAGATAGAAACCACTATAACATGGCCAAAAGCTGAGAAACTTTGAATATTAGGTTATATCCCCTTCAAGATGATTCCTTTGTGTAAGTAACAGTAGTGAGTGTAACATGCACATAAGACAAAAATGTGGGAAAAGTGTGAAGGCGACAGAACGCTGCCTGTCGTCTGTCTGACTCTCGTCTGCGTGACTGTCGTCTGCGTGACTGTCGTCTGCGTGACTGTCGTCTGTCTGACTGTCGTCTGCGTGACTGTCGTCTGCGTGACTGTCGTCTGCGTGACTGTCGTCTGTCTGACTGTCGTCTGCGTGACTGTCGTCTGCGTGACTGTCGTCTGTCTGACTGTCGTCTGTCTGACTGTCGTCTGCGTGACTGTCGTCTGCGTGACTGTCGTCTGCGTGACTGTCGTCTGCGTGACTGTCGTCTGTCTGACTGTCGTCTGTCTGACTGTCGTCTGTGTGAATCCCGTTGTCCACTATGTGAGTCTGCTCCACGTGCTCTGCTTCCTGTTCCAAACAGATCAGAGAGTCCTCCACAGACAGAATTATATGGACTCCACCACCGTCAGGGTCGAGGATGATCCACTCTCACTGCTCCACTGCTTTACGCTCAGAGAAAGAGAACTTCAGTATTTTACCTTTGATCCTGGAGGAGGGGGCAGCCCCAGGAACGCATACACAGCGTTGTCTTCTTTAGCATCAAAGAATGTCTCATAATCCTGCACAGGAGAGGAGAAGGTCAGCATTGTGCTTGCAACACAAAGTTGTAAGTCTAAGTGCTTCTGTAGTTATCAAAAGCCATGCATACTTTGTGACAGGACTGAGGGCTGTGTGAAGACCGGGGTCGTCCTCTAATTACACTAATCTGCCAAACAGTGAGGCTGTGTGTGAAGGACCACTGTATAAAGTATATACTGTAATACATACTTTATCAGACAGGCCCAAACTCAGGATTTTGTCGATATATCTACTATAAGCTTGGAACTGAAATGTACCTCTTTGGGCCATGCATCTCACATGGTTTTAGGCACTTTTACCATCAATCTACATCTCAACCATTTCGTAAAAGCCTATAATAATAAAATAGAATAAAATGTAAAAACAAATTATTTGTGTTGTTAAGTGTTCCTACATCTTAGAAAATTACAAAAATAAAACACTGCTTTCTTCAAAGAGTGATTGTTAAAGCGTTAAAGCGCAGTTGTTGAGATCATTAACACAAGTTCACAGTGTCATCCAACTTCAGCTGTTGTGAAGCTCAGAACCTCTGGATTCCAGCTGTTGACTTTATTTGTAGAACCTGACATTTGTTTTTAATTACCCCATACCCCATTATCAAGCTCAGAGCAGTGAAAATCTAGCCTGGTTCCAGTCCAGACCAGTGGGGGCGGGTCCCGGCTCCAAAGGGTCCATGAGCAGGTGCGCTGAAATGCTGTAATCTCTCTCCGGGCCAAACCAGTTTTGTACCAGTCTTGTTTAGCCTCTGTGGACTTTTGAATGCACTCGTTAAATGTATGGGGCTAGTGCCGGCTAACGCATGAGCAAATACATTTTTCTCATGTTCCTGCCCCGGCTGGTTAAAACCTAGTCTGAACAGTCAGACAATCCGGGTTGTCGGCCACTGGACCCGCCCTCTCACTCAAACATTTGGGCACCGCTGCTTCATATGCTTATACTGTTTTTTATTAAGCTAAAGGTTTAGGTTATTAGATGTCTCAAGTAAAGAGTCGTGCTTTTCTTCATATTCACTTCTCCTGTTTTGTGTGTTCCGCATTCCTTCTGTTCTGTAACCTGTGATACAACCCTGGCATTTCCCCAAAGGTGGGACAAAAGCATCTCTTCATCTTAACCACATGTTGGGGTGTGTTTCCTGTGGTCGAGACCCCAAACACAGCCGTACTGCCACACACACGCTCAGTCCGCACTCACGCCGCAGTAGCCCTCGTCGTTGAAGATCTGAGGGGGCAGTGGGATGCCGTTGGTGGGCTTCTTCTCCTCAGGGACGTTCTGCCTCATCCACATGCGGTTCTGCTCGTTACAGGCGATGTCCAGGGGAGTGTAGTCCACGTGAAGAGCCTCCAGAAAGCCCACCACATCCTGCTGCTTCTTCTTGATCTGAAATCACAGTACACAGTCACCTG